CCTTCTCCATGCTCAGACTGGGAGCAGCTCTCTCTCTATGGCCTCAGGCCTTTCCCATCACCTATGGCCTGATCCTTAACTGGCAATGCCGGGTACCAAACCTGGGACCTTCTCCATGCCAAGCAGACACAAAGTTTCATGACCTCATCTTTAAAACAAAAACAAAAACCTTTACCCATAATGTATTTTATGGCTTTAAAAGACTGGCTTGGAACACTTCCATAAATAGAACAAAGTCTGAGTCCCGTGGCACCTTTAAGACCCACAAAGTTTAATTCTGGGGATAAGCTTTCCTGTGCATGCACACTTCTTCAGATACATGTGCGCGCACATGAAAGCTTATCCCCAGAATTAAACTTTGTTATTCTTAACAAAGCGTGATCTGGTCCATGGGGGCGCAAAGAGTTGGACTCGACTGTGCGACTGAACAACAACAACTCTTAAAGGTGCCACTGGACTCAGACTTGGTACTGTTGCTTCGGAACAACATGGCGACCCCACCTGAATCTACTTCCATAAGTAGTACAGCAAGAAATTACCCTAGAAATAACATGTAAAAATAAATACAACCAATGCTCCCTCTAAGCTGTGGAGTCCTGTGAGCAAAAATTCTACTTTGTGAGCTCTTGGCATTACAGTTGTGAGCGAGCGATTTGGCTGCTGCGTAAATTAGTTTGCTCTGGAGCCATCCATCCTTCCTGAGCTAAGACAAAAATGTGTGAGCCGGAGGCTAAAAAACTGTGAGCTAGCTCACACTGACTCAGCTTGGAGGGAACACTGAATGCCTGGCTTTTGTTCTCTGCTTCGGAAACCCAAACGCCCTGATCGCTTTTGGAAACCCAAACAGTGGCCTCATTTCTAAGTCCCCTGAGCATTCGCTTGTCTTGAAGGTGACATCACACACCTCTGACCCAAGATGAGGCTGACCGGGTGCAACTGGGTCCAGCCGCTGCTCACGCTCCTGACCTCCCCTTTGCTTCCTTTCACGCCCTTCCCCCCCTCTCTCTAAGCACCATTCCGCCCTTCTAAGGCCAATGAGTTTCCTGAGCATGGGTGTTCTAACCACGCCCCACATCTCCTCCCCCTTAAAACAGCTACTCATGGCACCCGGGGGCAGCCTAGGGACGGGGGGGGGGAGTGATGGGCTTTTGCAGATGCAGAGAGTCCAGGGTGACTTCTTCCTTCCACTTGGCAGGCTACTTGGAGTGGGAGCTGGTCGCGTGGCAGCAGTTCCCTTCCCTTGCTCCTGCTCTTTCAAACAAGACATGCCCCCAGGGTCTGAAGTAGGGGTGTGCATTCGGTATAAACCGAGCCGAAAAACATCCGGAAAATACCTTATTGGTATTTTTCGGAATTTTTTTGAAGCTGAATACAGATTAGGGAATCTGATTCGGCAACCGGTTTAGTTGAGCCCGAATAAAGCTGGAATTATTTGGTGTTTATTTGGGTATATTCGGCTACACGGAATAGCAGCTGGCGGAGACTGAATCTGAGGCGAAGAGAGCAGGAAACCAACATGCTCTTGTCCCATGTCTGAAATTCCATCACCGCAGAAGCAGCCTTCCATCTGAATACTTTACGAGTTCATACGTAAGGTGACCTGATGGCAGATCCAAGCAGGCATCTATTCCAGCCCCCTCCCACACCCAGGGTCAATGACTTCACTTCCTGTGAGGAGGCCTTCAACTCTATCAGCCCCCTCCTCTCTGAGAATGTTATGTTATAGCCTCATGCAAAGCTTCCCCACCAGCCAAAATGCAGTCTGGAAAGAACCTTCCAACCGTGACTGGCTGGCCCTTCCCTCAACCTGTCTTCAGGGAGGGTTTGTGGTGCCAGGGCAACACACCCTTAAGATGCCTTCTGCTGCTGTTTGCCCACATTGTTCTGCTAAAGGCACCGCTGAAATTCACTGTGCTAAACAGTTCTGGTTCGGCTCCCTCTACCCAGTCCTACGCAATGCACAGGATCAGGGGTCCCCAACCTTTTGGATCCTGCGGGCACATTTGGAATTCTTACATGGCACGGTGAGCAAAGCCACAAGGCGGCTGCCCCAGGAGGCAGAGCCAGCCATTAAACGATTGCCACAGCTTAGTTTCAGACACACAGCGTAGATCGTTTGTGCTGTGGTGGAAGCTGCCACTGCCAAAGCAACGTTTTAAAAAAGTCTGCACTGCCAATCAAATCTCCAATGGCCAATCAGAAGCCTTGGTGGGCAAAAGCCCTACCTGGCCCCGCCCACTCCCTGAAAACGGTGGGCACAAAAAAAGGTGTTGGGCGGGAACCACGTTGGCGACCCCTGCACTGGGCTGACTCCTGCACTGCCCTACAAGCAGACCTAAGTCCCTACTTCCCACAGACCACTCTGATACAGCCACACCATTTGCCCATCACAATTGTTACCTACGACAATAAGATTTATGCAGAACATACAATGACAGCGCAACCCCCCCCCCCCCAGTAGTTCTAGGCATTGATACACGTCACCAAAATAAATCTTCCACTGGCTAAACAGACACACATTTTAAAGGGGGGGGGAGCGGAATAACTGGGAGTCGAGTCCCCAGAAATAATCTGAGGGGGAAATCTACAGCTCTCCACAGTTCTGCCCGGGTCCTGTCGAACCAGACGTGCCCTGGGAGCTCCAGTCTGAAGCTTCTTTCCCGGATCCAAGGAGGGGAGCCACTCAGACAGGTTCCCAGGGCAGGGCCAGTGTCAGCAGGCTCTCAGGTGGGGCGGTTGCTGGGGTCCAGGGCACATGCACTTCCCATTCGCTAGCAAATGCCCAGCTGCCCATGCTGCCCAGAGCCCTCAGGGCAGTGCAGATGGCTGTGAGCGAGGAGGAAGCGGAAGGCTTGCGATCTGGGCTGACCAAGGATGCCCTGTCAGGGAGTGAGACCCATGAGTGACTGAGCATGAAGGGAGGCCCTGGGAACTCCCCCCCCCTCCAGATCTGGAGATTTAGGTCTCCTTCTCCATGTCGCTTTCCCACCTGAAACTTCATTGTCCTGATAGGCTATGCAGCAGTTTCCCCAGCAGGGCAAATGAGAGCTCCCCGCGGTCATTTCGGATGGGAAAAACAGTATTGGGGTGGGGAAGGAAAACTTAAGCTCCCCAGTCTGAATTGGACTCCCCCCCCCCCATACACACACTTGGGAATTAGGAATCTGGTTTGGCAGGGTGTGGGACAAGACCTGTAAAGGACATAACGTGTCATCAGGGCCCAAGTTATCCTGAGATGTGAAATGCTGGCAACCAACGGGTCCCCTGCAGAACAGACTGAAAAAATTACATTTTAAGCCCAGAGGCTGCGACTTGCCTGGGTAGCAGGCTGGGTCGGGTTCAATGTTCCCTCTAAGCTGTGGAGTCCTGTGAGCAAAAACTCTACTTTTGTGAGCTACTGGCATTAAAGTGGTGAGCAAGCGATTTGGCTGCTGCATCAATGAGCTTGCTCTGGAGCCCCATCCTTCCTGAGCTGAGACAAAAATGTGTGAGCTGGAGGCTAAAAAACTGTGAGCTAGCTCACACTAACTCAGCTTAGAGGGAACACTGGACTCGGGTTCTACTGCAAATGCACTTTGATGCTCAAGCATCGGGCTTTGTATGCAGAGAAAGCAAGTCGGTGGGATAGTACATACGGACAGGGACCCTGACTGGCTATCCTAGTTGCATTCACCTCTGATTAGGTCTTCATATGTTTAGCTATCCCAGTGCATATTTTGGGGGGGGGGGGTGTGTTCTTAAAAACATCTTCTTCAAGGAATTTTAATACATTCTTAAATCTAGTTAGCATTCACTCTTCTCCATTTCTACAGAATGCTCGTGTGAAGCAGCACGATGCGGAATCAAACCTCCTGGTTCACACGGAATGAACATGAAGCTGCCTTCTACCAAATCGGACCCCCCCCCCCCGGGGTCAATATTGTCTACCTAGACTGGCAGCTGCTCTCCAGGGTCTCAGGTCTTTCCCATCACCTCCTGCCTGGTCCTTTTTAACCAGAGACGCCGGGAATTGAACCCGGGACCTTCTGCAAGCCAAGCAGAGGCTCTGCCACTGAGCCACAGCCCCTCTTTACAGCTCTCCAGGGTCTCAGGCGGAGGTCTTTCCCATCACATCCTGCCTGATCTTTTTTAACTGGAGATGCCAGGGATTGAACCTGGGACCTTCTGCATGCCAAGCAAAGGCTCTGCCACTGAGCCACAGCCCCTCCAGGGTCTTAGGCAGAGGTCTTTCCCATCACCCACTCCCAGGTCCTTTTTAACTGGAGACGCTGGGGACTGAACCTGGGACCTTCTGCAAGCCAAGCAGGTGCTCTGCCACTGAGCCACGGCCCCTCTTTACAGCTCTCCAGTGCCTCAGGCGGAAGTCTTTCCCATCACCTCCTGCCTGGTCCTTTTCAACTGGAGATGCTGCCGGGGATGGAACCTGGGACCTCCTGCCTGCCAAGCAGAGGCTCTGCCACTGAGCCACGGCCCCTCTTTGCAGCTCTCCAGGGCCTCAGGCGGAGGTCTTTCCCATCACCTACCACCTTGTCCTTTTAACTGGAGATGCTGCCGGGGACTGAACCTGGGACCTCCTGCAGGCCAAGCAGAGGCTCTGCCACTGAGCCACGGCCCCTCCCCTTCCTCTAGGCCGGTGCTGTCAATCCCGACTCAATGGCGCCCGGGTTAATCTGCCTCCCAGCGGGGCACAAAGACGTGCAAAGACAGGCCATCCCGAGGACCAGCCCTCCAAGATGCATTTCGCAATCCCTGCGTTATGCGGCCTCAGCGGAGGAAGGAGAAAGCGACAGAATGAGAAGACAGGAGAGGGGTGGCGGAGAGACAGAGAGAGAGACACGAGCGAGCGAGCGGCAGGAGACCCTTGCCAGAACCGCGGAGGAGGTGGCGTGGAGCCCTGAGCCTCTGGGGGAGGGGGGGAGCGCCGCCCGTCCCTTGCCTCCCCGTCCTTGCCCACCAATCCCTCCCTGGCCCCCCCCCTAAGAAAATGGCTTTGTTCTCACCTGGTCTGACTCCTGCTAGGACAGGCAGCGGGTGGTGGGTGAAAGCCATTCTCGGGGAGGTGGTGTGGGAGGAGAGGGCACTGCAGAAATCCAGCTTCCCTGACTTCTTTAAAGAAGCCGGTCCTGGCAAGGAATCAGGGAGAAAGCGCATGGTTTAACAGGTGGAAAGATGGATTAGTATTGCACCGTGCTCTCGGCATCCTCCCTCAGGACGACCCAGCCTCGCAGCAACAACGCGGAGACGCCCCACTGCAGCCGGGGGGTTCACCTGCCGTAGGTCTACGTGTGGGCCGGAGTGCGGGGCGGCCGCCGCTTGGGAGGTTTGCCTCTCTGCCTGTCCCGGAGCAGACCTCACCTGACCCACGTCTGCCTCGCGGGAGAGCAGCCGGTCCGCAGTCCGGAACGCCACTGAACCTACCGGCCAGACTCCCAACACGGGAAAGCAGATGCTGAGGCGCCGTCCGCAGTGCCGTCTACGTTCCCCTTGTGCGCCCTCGGCTTATGTCGGTGACGCTGCGGAGAGCCCGGCGCCCAACAGGATAAGTGAAGAGCTTCCTGACCTGACGGTTGTCTTCGACTCCAAAGGAGTTCTCTGTCCCAGCCCTCCCTCACAACGTATCCATCTGGGCCTACGGTGAGAAACCTATTTCATGTCCTACGGGGCCCTTGGAAACGGCCACGTCATTTGCTCTGTGATCCCACGAATCTGAATGGATCTACAATGAGTATTTACTACAGCTCTGCACGGCCCATCCTCAGCGTGCTTTCAGGCACGAAGAAGAAGAGAAGAGACTGAATTTATACCCCATGGCCCTTCACTACCCGAAGGAGTCTCAGAGCGGTTTACAATCTCCTTTCCCTTCCCCTCCCCACAACAGACGCCCTGTGAGGTAGGCGGGGCTGAGAGAGCTCTGACAGGAACTCTCTTTCAAGGACAGCTCTTGTCAGAATTATGGCTTGCGCAAGGTCATCCAGCCAGGTGCCAGTGGAGGAGTGGGGAATCAAACCCGGGTCTCCCAGATTAGAGTCTGCACACTTAACCACCACACCAAACTGGCTCTTTGCAAGGAAAGACTTGTCACTGGCCGTCCTTTTCCCAACGAAAGGGCTTTCCGTGGTCACAGTAGCAGAAGTAGAGAAGTAATAGAGAAGAAGAAGAAGAGATTGGATTTATACCCTGCTCTTCACTACCCAAAGGAGCGGCTCACAATCTCCTTCCCCTTCCCCTCCCCACAACAGACAGACACCCTGCGAGGTGTAGGTGGGGCTGAGAGAGCTCTGACAGAAACTGCTCTTTTTCAAGGACAGCTCTTATCAGAACTACGGCTTGCCCAAGGACACCCAGCCAGGTGCAAGTGGAGGAGGAGTGGGGAGTCAAACCCGGTCCTCCCAGATTAGAGTCCGCGCACTCAACCACGACACCAAACTGGCTCACAAGCTGGTACAGTGCACTTCTCGCTCAGTTAGACTGGAAATGCAGACCTCCAGTGGCACACATGAGAGGCGCCCCTCGTCTTCCACACTAAGGAGGATCAACGGTTGACAAACACGGGAGAAAGGATCACAGGCAACACAAGCCTCATTCTCTGGCCCCGCATTTTTATGGAAGATGTTCACAGACCCGCTCCCTCTCGCTATTTGGGTGCAGTGGGCACAGACATTGTTTGGGAACTGTCTACCGTCCCCGAAGGAGAGACAACCACCCCCTTTCTGAACGGAGCCACGTTGGGGACCTGCAAGGGACCGGTTTCCCCCCTCAACCAGAAGGGCTTCCCGGAAGTCATCCGTCACGTTCCTTGACTGACTAACGCAGCCTTATCCTGACAGTCGTCTCAAACCACTTCCTTCCAAAAGCCACCTGTGCAAAGCTGGAACTCATCCGCCTCTTTGGAAACAGCTGTTTCTTCCCTGAACATGGAGAGGTGCCAGCTGGGCCTCTCCACGGTCGGGGTCCAGCATCCCGGGTGGGAAGTCACGGCCCACCTTCTGTGCCCTCACCCCCCCCAAGACCCACAGAGCTTTCCCCTCAAGCACTCTGCACGGGACATGCCGGGCCCCAAGGAACAGCCCCGCCTTCCTCTTCCTCCATCCCGGGCTGGTTCCTGGGTGAAAGCTAGGGGGGAGAGAGAGAAGGCACAGCCGGGGCTCTCCAAGGGCTCCGTGAAGTCAAACAGCTACGGCAGAATCTCACGGCAACATCAAGTGCCCCGTACGAGAAAGGATAGAACCCACCCAATAACCATGAAGTCAGTGCAAGGAGAATGTGCTACTGCTTTGACGACTCTTGTAGCGCAATGGAGCTCCACGTTCCATTCCGAGAGACCCTCAGTATCTTTGGCTCAGGGGGAGGCACAACATGTCGCTCGATCCTTTTGTGGCCTCCTTATTGTGGGCGTCTTTTCTCTACCCCTTCAGGCTATGATGAATGTATCTGACGAAGAGAGCACTGACTGATCCAGCACAGCTTCTCTTACGTTCTCCTATGTTCTTATGTTAAGCTTAAAAAGGTAAAGGTTCCCTTGCTCGAAAGCCAGTCGAGTCCGACTCTAGGGTTGTGGTGCTCATCTCCGTTTCAAAGCCGAAGAGCCAGCGCTGTCCGAAGACGTTTCAGTGGTCATGTGGCCGGCATGACTAAACACCAAGGCGCACGGAACGCTGTTCCCTTCCCACCGAAGGGGTACCTATTTATCTACTTGCCATTTCTTGCTTTGGAACTGCTAGGTTGTTAAGCTTACGCCCCCAAAATTCTCATTGGTCTGAAGTCTACCTGTTCTACTGCAGAGCAACAAATGCCACCCTCTGAAACCCTGAAGACTCGGGTGTGCCTATCCCTGGCTCTCCAAACGCAGCGGCAATTCTGGAGATGTAATCGGGGTGGATTACTAGGAAGAAGGCAGTTCTGCAGTGGAGGAACAGACTGGTCTGCCTCTTTGGAAAAGGAGATAGGTCAAGCTGGGTAGCTGTGTTAGTCTGTCTCAATGCGCCCTCTAAGCCGTGGAGTCTTGTGAGCAAAAATTCTACTTTGTGAGCTACTGGCACGAAAGTTGTGATCAGTGTTCCCTCTAAGCTGAGTTAGTGTGAGCTAGCTCACAGTTTTTTAGCCTCCGGCTCACACATTTTCCTCTTAGATCAGGAAAGATGGCTCCAGGGCAAACTAATTTATGCAGTAGCCAAATTTCTCACTCGCAACTTTAATGCCAGGAGCTCACAAAGTAGAATTTTTGCTCGCAAAGACTCCACAGCTTAGAGGGAGCATTGGTTGTGAGTGAGTGATTTGGCTACTGCATAACTTAGTTTGCTCTGGAGCCATCCTTCCTGAGCTAAGACAAAGATGTGTGAGCCAGAGGCTACAAAACTGTGAGGTAGCTCACACTAACTCAGCTTAGAGGGAACTCTGTCTCTGTCTGTAGCAGTAGAAAAGCGCAAGCGTGTTCAGGAGCAGCTGAAAGACTAACAAGATTCGTGGCAGGGGTATGAGCTTGCAGGAGCCACACGGTGACTCACAAAAGCTCATCGCCTGCCACAAATTTTGTTAGCCTTTAAGGTGCTCCTGGAGTCTTGCTCTTTGGAACAGGAGGTTTGTCTTCTAGAGCAGGGGGCCAGAGACCGTCTGTCCCTTGAAGGAAAGGGAAAGAAAGTGGGGGGGGGGGGGGGGGAAGGAAGAGGTCACAGGCATCGCCAAAGGGCAAATGGTGGCCCAGCATTGATTTTTGGCAGAATGTACAACTGATACCTCCGGGGGGGGGGATTACCCCCCAGTGACAAAAGCCCAATGGAACAAACACATAAATCGGCATATCTTGCGCAGCAACAGAAGGACATTTCTACAACTTTGCGCCGTGCCTCATCTGCGACAAGCGGAAATACACCCAAACAGTTGAATTTACTTTCATTTAAGCTGTTGAGGAAAGAGCGGCAGGCAATCGGAAAACAACCCCGGGATTCACACACCTCGAGTTTTTAAGGGCAGGGTGAAATACTCCCCCAAAGGAACAAGGTGCTCTTGGGGAGAGGAAGGCGGGAGCGTTTCCCCTGGCCAGCCGTGCTGCACCACGAGGCGAGGGGCTGGGCTCTCCTCGCTCACAGCTGGAGCTGGAAGAGTGATGAATTCCTGTGGGCGAATGACCTCTGGCAGGCAGGTGGGCGGCCTCCGCCGACCGCCCTTCCCCAAACCCTCCCACAATGCCTCAGGGTGACACGGAGGTCACAGAGTGCCGGTTTCGAAATCTCTTTTTCAGGGCTCTGCCGTTCCACGGCACGAACCGTCAACGCATCGTGAAATCAAGGACACGTTCTTCATCAGTATCAACCATCTGCCAGGGAAGGGGGTGGTGGCAGCGGAGTTGCTGCCGCTCAAAAGGGTGGCTTTGATGGGCGGAACGTGGCCGCCCGAGAATGATTTCGAGCCCGCCCAAAGTCTGCTTACAATTTCTCCTTGGGCCGGTTCGGGATCAGTCGAAGGATTCAAGACCGTCCCCGGGGCCTGGCGGCAGAACGTGAGCCGCGAGACGTGCCTGAGACGCGCCAGACCAGAGAAGGAGGAGGAGGAGGCGGGCACGTGTGGAAAGCGCCTCCTGTGCCAGTCAGCCCGGCTTCCTCCTTCAGCAAGTGCGGACTTGCTCTTTTCAACAGCTGAGAAAGCACCCAGAGCTCCTCTTCATTGCTGAGCCCAGTCCATGGCTTTGGCTTTTTTGTTTTTTTTGGGGGGGGAGGAGTTCACAGTATTTGGGGGAGATGCTGACAGTTTTTTAAACACATAATATATATGACAGTAAATGGGGGAGGGGTTTTTTGAACTTTAAAAGAGAAATATACATGGGTCCCAGACTCCACTAAACCGGTCCTGACAAAAGGCTTTAAAGTATTTTTAAGTCCTCGTAATCACCGCAATGTAGATCCAAGGAGAGCCCGCTTGGTGCAGTGGTGAGGAGCGGCGGACTGTAACCCAGAGAAGCGGGTTGGACTCCCCTCTCCTCCCTCCACACGAGGCCTGCTGGGTGACCTCGGGCCAGTCACTGCTCTCTCACGGTTCTCTCAGCCCCACCGGCCTCACAGGCAAGGCTCCCTCTCAGCTGTGGAGTCTTGTGAGCAAGAATTCTACTTTGTGAGCTACTGGCATTAAA